TTAGGCTAAGGTGAGCCGAGTTTCTGAGGAGCAGCTGCCAGAGCACAGACACAATGCAAAGCACTTCCACCACGGGACCTTTCTTCGTTTGCTTTTCTCTGGTATCGTGGAAAGAGCTAAATATTCACCCTGCTCTCCCTTCCCTTCCTGCACGATTGCTATTAGTGGCACAGACCTTGTGCTTCACTCGCACTTTATCACCTTCGCATCGGGGCACGGGAAAGTTCAGGCTCACACTGGGAAACACACACTTGGATGAGGATGACACCGTTGGGACGTGGCAGGGCATCAACAGCCCCTGGGGAACTTGGGGACAAGGACTATTCACTGGAACAATTGACATACCGAGAAAAGGTGTGTCTAATCCACTGCCCAGCTCCTCTGCCTATACACGCCTGCCTGAAGCTGGTATGCAGCGACGGCACTGTGTGTTCTCGGTGGCTGCTTTCAGGAAACCCAAGTGGTCACGCATGTTTTCACCGATAAGGATCTTACCCCGCCCATGCAGAGAGTGCTGCCCGGGTGTTAAAGAGGAGCGGGGCTGTGACTCCTCGCTCTTGAACTAAGGCACTTAGTCAGTGCCTCGGTTTCCCCAGCTCTAAAATGGGATTAGTAATACTTTGTTGAGATTATGTGTTTCTCAGATGTGGGATTTCATAGACAGCTATAAAACAAAATTTATTGTACTGAAGAGAAGTTGCACAGTACTTTGAGAGCCTAAAAAGACTATACTGAAATGCTTATTTTATTACTTATTGCATTGGAGTGATTGAAAAAAATGTTTTAAAGGAGTGTGTGCAAGCATCATACCTGTGCGTATAGTATCCATACACATACACACACAGAGTTTTTACTTACCAATCCTTTAAGGTCATATCTACTAGAAAATGCCTTTGCTTTCCTATTTTCTTTTAATCCTACATATTGCCTGCTTGAAAAGTTACAGGTTGCTCAGAAGTCTTACTGTTTTCCTTGGGGTTGCCAAGCTAACTCCAAGCTAACTCTTAGGGTTTTGTGACCATATGAGCATGGTGAGAGTGGTACATCACAGCTGACACACACTGATCCGTAATTCGTGTGTGTACGCATGTCATGTCTAAGGAGCACTGCTCTGGAGATGAAGACACTTAGAGGCCACAGACAGTGATGTATGAAGCAGGAAAATGGAGGGGGTACAACCAGGAGGGGGGAGTGGGAAGGGTTGGGTAGACAAGCCCATGGAGTCTTCCACATCAGCAGAAGAGCTCTTAGGGAAACCCCTCCTGAAGCTCTCCATCACCTCTGCCTCCTGAGCCGTGCCCGTTGGACAAGCCCCTGGCTCCGAACATGACAGTCGCCTCACTGACTGCTTGCTTGCTTGCAGTTAGGTCCATATGTCATGCATTAATGCGCAGCATCACAGCTTCCCTCTTGCTCAAGGCCCTCTGCTACACTATATATTAGACACTCTGGAAGTAAGGGGAGGACACAACCCTTTCCTGCTCACGGGACTGCGACCTCATTGGGGTGTTGCTGCATGAATGGTTTTGTAGGTAGACGGATGAAAACCAGCTATGATCCTCCCAAGATTGGCAGGAGTTTCTATTGCTCTCTGTAACATAATGGCTTGGCTTTAATGGAGAGCACAGATCACCTTGTGTTAATGAGTAATAAAAGCAATCGACCCATAGTGCGTTTGTCTCTTAGCTGGGAGTGTGTGTAGTCGAGGTGATAAGGCTGTTACATTAGCAAAGTTATGCTGCATTGATACCACGCAGTTTAAGAGCCCTACAAAGCCAAGCTCTGATAATTAAGTATTAGGATATCCTAATGCTTTTTTTAGTGTCAAAGTACTATAATGTTAAGTTAGCCAAGGGAATAAGATATAGTTAGCATATATAGTACAGCCTACAAATCCATTTGAAAGCTACACTGAGTCATGTCATCCAGGTTTTATCGAAAGACATCCTGGGAGGTTATTTTGGGAGAGCTGTTTTCCGAAGCTGAGGGGACATCTGTCATGCTAAGCTAGGAAAGCAGGGTATGATGAGAAAATGCTACAGACTTTGCTTCATGAAGATGCTGACTTGTTTTAAATAAAGAGTATTAAATATGTACCTTGCCAGTTTCTGAAAAAGAACATTGTATTCTTTCTAGTAACTCCAGCAGTTTCCATGGGACTGTTTGGAGACACGGACCTAAAGAAGAAGCAGATATTGGATTGGCCTCTCTGTCAGGTGAAAATCACAAACTGTCTTCATTGTGTTGCACACTCCGGAGCAGTCTTACACCAGGGAAAACTGGAGGATCCTGACCTGCTCTGCTGCCGGGCCAGGATGCTCCTGAGCCCTGAGCTAGATGCAAATGGCTGGTGTGAAACCACTTCCCGTCCCCTGGTGACTCACAGCCAGGGAAGCGTTGGCATCCTGCTCTAGGAAGGGTCACTTGCCTGCCCTGCCCTGCAGGGAGGGTGAACACAGCGAGGTGGATGGAGCTGGGACAGCAACACAAATTGCTGGGCATGCAGAAAATAAACAAGACTTTGCCAGGACTGCCGTGACAGCTACGGAGAGATGGAGCGAAGCACAGGCAGCACTGGCACCTGGACACGTTGCCTTCATCCCTTAGTGGAATTTGCTCCTCAGGCTGACATGCGTGGACATCTGATGTGCTAAGCCGGAAGAACAGAGTACGATATGCCCATTAAAAAAGCTTAGAAACACCGCTCTGGCTATTACCGTGGTCCTGCTGTTCCCCTGGGAGTTTTTTGCTTTCTACCTCAGTCACGCTTGTACTGGGCACACTTTCACCATGCACCAAATGAGGAAAAATGGCCCCATTCTCCCCTCTCCTCCCTAAAAGAGGCTTGTATTTGGTGCAGGACAGAATGAGAAGGCAGGGAGATCCATATGGCTATAATATGTTTGCGGGCTAATTCTCTGCTACTGTAAAACTCTGCTCTTGCCACCTCTAACGATTTAATTGTGTTTATGGAAGGCTTTCTCAGATTTTCCAGGCCTTTTCTGAGCTCACCACACCACTTTTTCTGAGTTACTTCTAATAACAACTGGCTAGGATACCTTGTTTCCAAAACTGGTGCAGACACAGGTTAATTAACACAGTGCAAGACAAGCACAGGGAGATGATGCATATTATCAGTACCTGTCTTATATGAATGCAATCTATGTCTATGTGGCTAACGAAAGTCGTATGCTTTATGGGACCTGCATGGCCAATGCCCTGTCCCTGTGGGTCAGAACTGTTGGAAACACAGCTTTACCCTTGTCAAAGAAAGCCGTGAAGTGAAGATCACGGGCGTGTTTGCCTTATATAGACACTTGGATGCCAGAAAACTCAGCAGAAAGCATCATACCCGCATAACCATATCAAGACATGCATCTGGCAGAGAAGGAAGAAGAAAAGTTCCTCACTTGTCAGCTTCTAAGAATGGAATTAGAAAACAGAGAGCAGAAAAGCTAAAGCAGCAGAGAGTCCTGCAGACCCTGGCCTTTTGACTTGTGACTTTTGTTCTCCATCCAGTGTCTCCCAAAGCATGTGCTGAGGACCTCTTCTGTGGTGTGACCTCTGAGTGATCCCGGGATCAAGGCAAAAGATTGTTAACTCTGACAGTAAAACTGCCTCATGAGGTTACGACGGGAATTATATGGGTTATATATTGTAAGAATAATAAACTTTTTATTGCTATTGTATTTGGAGGGAAATCTTGGAGAAGAGAAAGCAAGCGTGAGCAGTTCTGTAAAAGTACCGATTGGCTCCATCTGGAGGTGACAGCTGAGATGACAGACACAGTCACTTTGGGAAACCAGATTGTAAGCAGAGCTGAAAGCAGAGCGAGAATCTGCTCCTCAGCCCTGTGTTGAAGACTTGCCCACAAAAGGCAGGTCTCCAGTCTTTTATGGCTTCTCTTTTAAAAAATAAAGATCGCTAAGGATGTGGTGGTTTCTGTGCATTTGTACCTTTGGGATGGGAGGAATTTCTAGTCCTGCTCCCCCTTGGTTTTCCTGGAAGGTGCCCTGGAGCCCTGCTAGGTTTCTCAGCGTTGTGTGAGAGGAGGCATTGAGTGAGAAGCCTCCTTACAGAGGCCCCATCCTTCTGTCCCCAGCAGCCTGTGTGACCCCTGCTCACCCAGGGAGTCCTGCAGGAAAACAGGAAGGTTGCAATGGCAGTAAGCGAGCAGGCAAAATCCAACCAAAGAAAGTCCCCCAAACTGGCACTGCCTTGAAAAGTTCAAGATTCCCACATGGGAGTTGGACTCAGGCCATGAACAAATTGAAGTCCAGGGCATGAGAAGTATCTAGGTTTGGCTTAAATGCAGAATACAGAGCTCCATATCTGAGCTGGGATGGTTGTTGGTGTTGGCTCTGAAGGCCCATGACTGCTACCTTTTACTTTCCCTTCCAGTAACATTCTGGCATTGAACTAGATCATCACTGCATCAGAGACCAACAGGGTAACCAAAGGGCCTGGGATCTACACCAAGACACTTTACAGTTGCTCATTGCTAAGGCATGAACCAATGTACAGGAATAAACATGTGTGTGCACATGAGAGCAATTCTGCATGTCCCTTAGCAGTGCTCAAAACTTCTGCCCTGAAGAACAAGTTTTGATTCTTTTTTTATTCCTACTTTGCCGAAACCTGCAATGTTATCTCTTTTCCTTGCAAGTCCAGGACTCCAGTTACCTGCATGCCGCTTCTGCACAACCCCATTTCTCTTCAGCCAGGCATGACAAGAGCTTTAACTGTGCAGGGCGGATTGGCTGCAGCAGCTCCCGTGGGCACTCTCACTCTCCTCCCGTCCCCGTTGCAGGTGAGCGTTGCTCCTGCGGCCATCACTAACGGATGGCATCTGCAGAAGTGAGAAGTTTCTGCTGCTCATGGCCACGGGAAGAGGGTGGTGGTGACCTGGGACACTGAGGCTCTGCCTCTACCCCAGCTTTAAGAACAAGAGCTGGGCACTGTTTTTCTCACCTCCTTGGATGTGCTCAGCACCTGCTAGCATGAGGTTTTTCCTCCAGTATGTGGGCTGTTTTTTTGCTTTTTTCTCTACTGGGTTTTTGATAGCATCTACCTGGACAGACTGCTGGATGGTGAACGCTGATGATTCCCTGGAGGTAAGATCGGGGTGAGGAGAGCCTGATCACCAAAACAAAGGTGTCCTAGAAAGAGTTTGGTTCCCGGCATCATTGCTCCACTCCCATGTACTTTTTCCCTGTTGTGCTGGATGAAAGTGGATGAAAATGAAATGAATGACTCTGCCAAGAGCAGGGGAAAAGTGGTATTTTGTGTAATCGTCTCTGCCAGACTTTATTATCCAGACTCTGCTCTTGTTTAGTAAGTTCAGGAAAGGTCTACAGGCTCTAGGTTTAAATATGCATGAACTTGAGTATGGTTATCCTACACCTCCAGCCTGCATGGATATTTTGAAGATGTTTCTAATTCTATAGGTCAGACTTCTTGGTGGAAAAGTCCAGCATGTACACCTATGCTTTTCAAGTCTTTTGCTTAACAGCCATTGAGCTATAGGGCTAGCAGAAATTTATGGGGAGCATGGGGACTGGTGTCAGATCCAGCACTCAAAAATATCTTCTTGAACTTGTGCAGACATTAGCACTCTCATGTTAGAGAAAAGTATTGGCAAAAAATAAACGGCAAACAACAAGGGAGCAGAATGCCACATAGGTGCAAGCTGCGCCTCAGAGACTCCAGACCCCAAAATGTCACCATTTCTCCAGCACTCGGTACTGCAAGTTTGTATTTTTCTTCCCAGAGCAGTCAGCCAGCACTTCTGTATATTTAAAGGCTGCAGGTCCACAGCGTGGGAATCTGCTCTCTGGCAAAATGGATGCTTTATGCAGTAAAGGTGGAACACCTTCCAAGACAGAGAGTTTGGCTCAATACATCAGAAGGAAACTTTCTACCTGCTATCCAGCATAGGAAACCAGAAAAGCTCCTCCGCATGCAATGATTGCAATGCAACATTTAGCTGCATCACATCAAGTGATGAATTATCTGAAGAAAGAAGGCTAAAAGTGATTACAAGAAAAATACCCTTTTTCTCTATGCCACGTGAAATCCCAACAATCTGACTGCCACCCTGGAAGGTGGTTGTAGATGCTGAGATGGTCATAGATCCAGTGCTGTGAGGTTGCTGATGGTCAGTGAGCCTCTTTACAGGGAAAACTGTGCAGCCACTTATGCTGGCTGGAATATCACTCTTCATTTATCGTCTTAATTGAGGAGATATTTTAGATTCATTTCAGAAAGCTGTGAATTGCCTGGAGTCAGCTGAAGATATCATTATACTCAGAAAAGCCAAATGGATCCCAAATTGTGGCATCATTTCCAAGAAAATCAGAAGAGGGAAACCCAGCTCCTAAGTGAAACGACTCCAGGAAAGAACAAGCCCATTACCCTGAGGCTGGGTAACCTTGTCTTCTTGGCACAAAGGCACCTGCGCTGGGCTGTCACTAAGTGCTCCATTAACACCCAGTTTGGTTATTAGCAGCCACTACGCTCACATTACTGAGTGTGAATACTAAATAATGGAGAAAAACGCCCCCAGCCTTAATACCTGACCGTCTGATCTCCTTAATGGCCCTAATGACTTACTGCCTCTCTAAATACGGGAATGCAGGTAAACTGTCCATGGCCGGAAAGGTGTGGAGTCCACAATGATTCCTGTTTTCAGCTGGAAAAAGGGTCATTCGGGCAACTTTTGATTTCAGGAGAAAGGAACTCCATCATCCAGCATAGAAAGTCGCCTGGCTTTGACCCTGGCCCCCAGAAGCTGGGCAGGAGGAAGCCCTCGCTGTGGTCCCACTGGAGAGGAGCAGCCCAGGAGGAAGAGGCCAGGGAGCGCCGGGACAGCCACCTCCGGAGGGGCTGGGGGGCCCTGGCCAGCGCTTCACTCTCGCAGCCCCTCGCCTCCCCTTCAGAAACAACCAGGTCACGGCAACACAGAAAGTGGTTTCAGCTGGTGCACTCTGTTTGAGCATCAAGACAAGCCTGGGTCAATTTTTGCAGTAGTTTGTGCTGGAAAAAGTCGTAATCTGCTTCCCAACAAGCACAGTATTGTGTCCACAGTCCCTCCCTGTGGCAGGCGGATTAAAAATTTTACCACTACTGTTAAATGCTGCCTGTTTTACTCTTATGCTGGGCTTGTAATCATTGTATGTTGGCACCTTTTTACGGTGCGGTAAAACACTCTGACTAACATCGCTCACATGTTTGTCTTCGGCGCTTTCCCCAGAAGGGGAAGCGTGTGCTTGTTCTGTCATTTTTTTGTATTAGAATTATTTTAATATTAATTATACATTATGCATAGGATATAATTATATACATATTACAGTCATTATGCAATTTATGTTTTACATGCATACTTGAGTTAGGGAAAGCAGGTCGTGGCAATGTGTTTCGTAATCAAAGTGGGAAATGAGGCGTTTGACCATGATGCTTAGCTCCTGGGGGAGTCCTTGGCTGGGCCCAGAGAAGCTGGAGCAGATTTGCTATGGGGGGAAAGAGGTGATAGGCAATTAGTGCTACCAACATGGTGCCAGGGTCCGGCCATGGGATGGAGAAATCCATGCTCCCTTGTGCTGGTTTTGGCTGGGGTAGAGTTAATTTTCTTCATAGTAGCTAGTATGGGGCTATGTTTTGGATTTGTGCTGGAAACCGTGTTGACAATACAGGGATGTTTTAGTTATTGCTGAGCAGTGCTTACACAGAGTCAAGGCCTTTTCTGCTTCTCACCCCACCCCACCATGCCCACATGATGCCCCCGCCAGACCTGACCCCTCTCCCGTTTACAGCAGCGAGTTGCCGAGTGCCTGAGGGTCTGTGCTGTCTGCACAATGGCAGATGCCTAAGGGTGGTTTGGGAGCAGATTAACAACGAGAAGGACAAACGGTGCACAAGCAGAGGGGAGCAAGGGATGGCCAAGGAGGTTAAGAGGCAGATAACAGAAACCAGAATAGTTCAGCAGTGGCTCAGGCCAGCCACAGGTCCCCTCCACGACGTCTGTTCCTATCACTCCTCCACAGGCAATGAGACATTTAGCCCTGGCTTGCACGTGCTGCATAGAGATCGGCTGATCCCTGGTTTTGCTTGTGTTCAGCGCTAGCAGGAGCAGGTGACAACTGAAACATCCCAAGACACACAAAACATTTATCAAGTTTTTTCTAGTCTAGGAAGGGGGTTGTTTCACAAGCTAGACATGATCACAAATGTTGCACCTTAAGACCTCTGTTTTGCTTGGAGGCTAACGAAGCCTGGAATCCTGTTAGTCTCTGTATAAATAATTTAGATGAAGATGCTGCTTGTAAGATTTAAAAAACAATACTAATGCGAGCAAGTGAGGAAGCAACTGCGAATATTAGCTGAATACAGAGTAGTATGAATGAGCCTACGGTGGTTTGGGAGGAACATGAAATGCTATAAACACAAGTGGAACAAAATGTAATTTAATAAAAATATGCTAATTTCAAGCACAGCCTGAATGGTGGTGAGTTAAGACAAAAGAGGAGTTGTAGCTGGGTTAAGAGGGCCATGGTAAAAACTTGCATCTGATATAAACATGGGAAATTGTTTTACATGACACCGTTCTCTTGAAAAACACAGAATGAATGAAACCAGGTTTTTCCAGCATTACTTCTTTTTTTTTGTGGTATTTTTCATTAAACCTGCCCCAAAATTCTGCGAAATTGTAAGTAGTTTTCATCTTCATAAAACAAAACTGGTAGATTGTTTTCATTCAAACATAAATAGTATCTTTTTTGCCAGTCTGAAGTAGTGAGTCATTTTTACTCACCTTTAATTCACAGCGCACTATCACAGAGAATATGTACAGTTTGGCTCGAACATTATGTTGTGGAGAAAACATTGTGGCTGGCTACAGGCTTCAATACATCCTGAATGAGACTTTATTAAGTGGCTGAGATATGTTATTATCTGCTTTGTGATTTACACAGCCCAAGAAAAATTAATTTGTTGCATCATCCAAACAAGCCCGGTCCCCTTCATCTGTGTGAAACCCATTCCTCGGGAGAGTTTCTCCTTCCATTAACTGCAGCGGGTGTCACTGGCAGCAGCGGGACAGGCTGGAGTCCAAAGCTGCACCGACATTCACTCTGCTCCTTGTGTGAGCAATTCCAGGAATGTGTTAGAGCTGCTTGTTGCCATATTTGCATTGGTAATGAAAATACCTCCCATATTAAAGTGATTTATGGAAGGCTGGGCTGGGAATGGTATCTACGGCTTCAGGACAGCAGAGACAATTAGCTATGATGCTACTGCAACGTCTGCAGAGTCTTCATGTCTCAGCAATGAGTGTGGCTCGGGCACGCGTGGTCCCATAGCCGGCAGCGCACTGGGAGCCCCAGGGCCAGGATCAGCGCTGGCTGCCTTTCATTTCCCAGCCAGTGTTTACAGCTGAGTCATTTGTGGGCAGCCCTCCACACGCGTCTGGAGAGGGGCTCACATCCACACCTCCGCTCTGCAGCAAAGCACTCCTTTACCCCGCCGCGGCCACCTCCCATTGCGGGCACCCAGCTGTTGGTGCAACTCCTGCCCCACCAGTCGCATTCCCCTCTGAGCCGCTCCTTCCTCCTCAGCTTTCTTGGCAGGAGGATGGCGTAAGGGGAGCATGGACAGCAAAGTCTCAGGTCGCCTGGTCCATAGCCCTGCCCAGCTATGGAGCATTTGGTAAGGAGTGATCAAACCTGCTCTTAGATATCTCCCGTCAGCCACCCCCCAGCTCCTGGCAGAAATTTCCTTCAGAATGTTTATCCTTAACAATAGGAAGGGGTTTTTTCCTAATGTTTAGTCTGAATTTCTTTTGCTCTAATTTATAGCCATTAGCAGGGACACAGAAAACATTGTCCTTTTTCTCCATCCTGCCGCTTTTTTTCTTCAAGCTAAACAACTCAGGTTTGCCATTGACACAGCTGGACCAGGATTTCTGTTGAAAGGCCTAGCTGACCATCCGCTGTGTTGGTGAATATATTAACTTATGGTCTTTTTTTTCTTTTCTCAACCCACAGGTGAGTACAAAGTGCCGTGGCCTGTGGTGGGAATGTGTCACAAATGTTTTCGACGGGATCCAAACTTGCGATGAGTACGACTCCATCTTCGCCGAGCACCCCGGTATGTAAAAGTCAAAGATGTTTCTACAAGTGGTGGGAACAGCTGAGTGTAGACAAAAAGAGCATCTGTTCTACTCAGTGACAGATAATTGGGAGCACATACATATTAGAGCCATGTTTCTTTTCTCAGTGAGGTATTACTCCCAGGGGAAGCTGGAGAAAGCTTCACCCCAGAAAAAAATGTTCCCGCAGGATCTGATCCCATTACCCACCCGCATTTCCATTCCTTGTGCACTAGAACGATCTGCTTTTATCCTGCAGTGAAGTTGGTGCTGACCCGAGCCATGATGATCACAGCAGATATCCTGGCAGGATTTGGATTTCTCTTCCTCGTCCTGGGACTGGACTGCGTGAAATTCCTTCCTGATGAGCCGCTCATCAAGCTGCGCATCTGCCTGGTGTCTGGAGTTACGTTGCTCATTGCAGGTATTCATCTGCTGTGCCCCCACCCCGCAGAACACCCTTTAGCAAGAGCGCATCTTTAAAGCCTTCTCTTATTTTGGGGAGAGGAGTTGGTGATGTTCTAGACGGTAAACATGGGGGAAGGATATTTATTTGCTTTATCTGTGCAATACAGCTTCCCCTGTTCACTGCCTGCCCCTAACAGCACATAGTTGAGTTTATCTGCTTTCATTTCATACATTGACCAGGTTACTTGGCTCTGAGTTGACAGACTTCCATTTACTGCTGTTTTACTGTGGAGAAGTCAGTGTTGTTGATAAGGCAAAGAGACCTAATCGCTGAAGGACTAGAAAGTCCCGGCATCCTGGTTCGGTTCCTGGCTCTGCCACAGATTGTGTGACCTTGGGCAAGTCACTTAGCCTGAAATCTCTGCAGCCGATCTCTAATAAAAGGATAATAACACATCTGTCCCTCGTAGGTGATAACTCCCTGACTGACTGAGGTGCTTTGCTGTTACAGCCAGTGGGAGAATTTTAAATACAAAAATAAATAGACAGCCAACTAGATACCAAGTAATTTCATTTCACTTTATGCCAATAGCGAGCATCTACCTCTGCTTCAGTGTAAGCAGATTTAACACATAACTCACCCCAGCCACTGGGAGCACATGTAAAACACTCTGAGAGGTTCTTTTAAACATCCTCCATTCAACTCCCAAAGTTTGTCTAAAAAGCACTGTCAAAGTTCTGAAAGTCAAAACAGATTAGAAAATTAAATTCTTGAAGCGACTTTACAAGAAGTTGATAAACAAGCCGAGAAGGGAGGAGCTTTCTGCCTTCTACTGCAGAAACCTGAGTCCTGCCCACCAGCGCCTGCGAGGCAGAGCCGCTGCCTGACAGCGCTCCAGCTGGTATCAGTAGGAGCCAGGGTGAATCTGCCAAAGTGCCTGGGCTGAGACTGAACAGGGGCCAAAACCTGCTGTCCGAGGAAGGTCTTCCCATCCTAAAGTCTGACCCAGCAGGCTATACCTCCAGATTTGATGTTTGTGATCTCCTCATGGTCCATCTGGGAGCTCTGTGCGGCACCTCCCTCCTGTCCTGCAGGTCTCCCAGGCATTACCGGCTCGGTGTGGTACGCCGTTGATGTCTACGTGGAGCGCTCCTCTCTGGTCTTCCACAACGTGTTTCTGGGCATCCAGTACAAGTTTGGCTGGTCGTGCTGGCTCGGCATGGCGGGGTCACTCGGCTGTTTCTTATCCGGGGCCCTGCTCACCTGCTGCATGTATCTCTTCAGAGGTGAGGAACCGTGGCAAGGCTGAAACACAGTTTAGAGATAGAGCTATCGCTTGGGGTGTGCTACAGGCACACAGGGTGGGGAAAGTCCTTCAGGGACATCCTTCAGGATGGTTGCTCATCCCCAGTAGCAATATCTTCAGCCGTAAAATGGGAATAGTGTTATTTCAGCAGCTCTAGAAAGCACATCAAGGTCTTCAGGTGGGAGCTGAGGTGTAAGTATGACATAAAATGTGTTATTATGTCATATCTTGGAGTGCTACTTTCTCTGCATTTCGAGGCTTTGCAGCTGAAAGTCACCAAGCACTCATTAGCAGATCCTGTTTCTCTCCCTGTGCCTCGCAGAGACCAGCTCTGGAAGACTCCACTCTGCTTACTCCTTGAGGAAAGGCTATTCCTCAGCTGGGACAATCGTAACAAACGTGCATTTGCCATCCTCGCAAACAGCCACTGCCAAAATGTATGCAGTGGACACAAGAGTGTGAGGAGGAGGTAAGTGCTCCAGAAGGAGCTCTACTTTTATTTGTAGTGGATTGCACAGCGACCCGAGCTCCTGTGGTTGTGATACAGATGCAAAGTTAAATTTCAAGGATGTACTGTATGCTACAATGTTCGCATTATGAGAGCTTCAAAAAAACCTTCCTTCAAGAAAGTAATCTCTGAGAAGATCTTGCTTTAGGGAATCCTGTTGTCTTGAGTGCTGAGGCCACTTGCATAAGCACGGACTGAAATAACCAACACAAACTCTTTCAGCATTTGGCTCAACAATATCGGTACGGGTGAGATAAATCAGCCACTCCTGGATCAGACACCAGTGTTCCACATGTAGATCCCCAGACTGTAGGATGGATCTGTTCCATGTCTGGTAATGTGTTGACAGAATGTACGAAGCAGAAAATACAGGTGAAGAGAAGAACCGATTGTCTGGCCAACATCTGGACCCTGTGCACCCAGCATGGGGGTCTGCTCTTCTTAAAGGCAGCTGGAGAGTTCAGCAGAAGATAAAGAGCTGTGTTAAATCCCTGGCCCTCTCTTCGGCCCCTGAACCTCTGCACTGAGGAAACACTGCAAATTCAGATGCATTCTTCCCTGCAAAATACAGTCCTTCTCAGTAAGTGTTAAAATGTACATTACAGATGCTCTAGACCCACGAGATCTGGAAATTGCCAGCTTCTTTCTGCTTAGTAAATATTTTGCCTGGACAAAGACAAAGTGAGTGAAGATCCAAGATCTGACCTTGTGCGTAACAATATGTCTATACCAGCTAGAAACTAGGATAAATGATAGTAAAAGCTATTGTCCCTTTCTATCAAAAGATATTTAAATCCAGTTCAGGACTGCTGTATCCTGCTGCAATCCAGGCTGCCATAGGCCATGTCTTCACTAGAGTTGGTGAAAAAACTCAGCATGGTTTAACACATTCGCTAAGGATGGATGCAAAAGTGCTGACAGCCCTTCCATGCCTTTGAAGAAAAGAGAAGCTGAGACACAGTTTTCTTAGGCTTGGTAGGAACTGCCCAGCCCTTTCTACCATGGGCACCACATCATATGGTCATGGGCACCAGGGGTTAAGAACAGGCTCTCAGCACAGAGATATACTGTTCAGGGGGAGTGGAGAAACAACAGCGGAGTCTCAGGAGGGTGTGCACAGCCGTAGGTACTGCGGCTTCCTCCACTGACAGCTTGGTGGGGAGACTGGATGGAGAAACTCCCTTCCCCCCCAGGCAATATGAAGTGAAGCCTTATGTTATGAGGGCCAGAGGGAGATGGGATGGCTGTGGATGGAGTGGGCTATGTCCCAAAGAGCACCTCTGATAGCCCCTACAATGGAAGATGAGGGGCTGAGTCCTCTCACGGATTATCCTGGAAGCAGCATCTTGTGCTGCAGCACAGAACTGACCAGCAACAGTAAAACATAACCCAATCCTGACATGGCTCCTAATCAAATAACACTCAGGCCCTGGGACAGACGGGACAACAGCAGGTCCATATAGCTTTGCTACGGGCTCAAACACCTCTACAAGGCTCAGACCATAATGCAACCATCTCAGCAAGAGCCCTCGTGGCAGCACTGCTGCCCAGGCAAGGGAGGCTTCGTGCCTGCAGAGTTTATGCTGCTTTGGTTGGTAGATGTTTATGTCAGCCAAACAGAAAGCAACTTATTGCCAACAGATGAGCTATAGTGAACAGATGTAAACACAGTAGGAGAAGTGACAGAGGCTTTTTTATGAAGTCCTGAGAGACGAGGAGTACAAGAGTTATGAGCTATGTGATGAATTCACGGATTATACCAAGAATGCACAAAGAGATCTGGAGGTGATAGGAATTTCTGCCTGTTATTGCAGGAAACCAGAGAGGCAAGGCCACATCTAGAGCTTTTTTTTTTAAAAAAAACTTTTTCACAATCACATCAGAAACATGTATTTGCTGTGGGGCTTTCGGGGTGGAAGAGCTGGAGCTGGTACGCTGTGCCAGGGGAGGGAAGCTCTGGGGACGTTTGTGGATCCGGTTCCTGGGCTGTGCCTCTGTTCCCCTGCTCCTTCAGGGACACGCTGGGAAGGAGAGGGAGGCAAACCTGCTGCAGAGGCAGAGCTGTGCTCTGCCACTGCTCCGATGCCCACGTCCCTGCTCCTCCCCAGGGAGGCCAACGCTGCCTCAGCCTCCCCAAGGGAGGAGAGATGCCCCGACGTCCCGGGATGCTCCAGCCCGGTTCACCCAGCGCAGAGACACTCCTCGGGAGGAGGTACTGAGCAGACATCATCACCGTTCAGGACCAAAGTCCTGAATCAAATCCTTCCCAGACTATGCAGCCACAGCCCCCACCATTAGCCCTCGCCATTAACACTCAGGGACACCTGCCAGCCTCTTGTTGCTGTTTTCTACAGCTCTTTCTGAGGCATGAAGTTTATCTCTTGCTGGGAAGATTTATTTCTTGTTTAGCAGAGGAGAAATAGTCTGGGATCTCCTGCTAATGCGGGTGTAATTGCAGATCTCAGACCATTGATTTCTCCTGTTCTTTTTCTCCTGTAAGCTATAGTTGTCCTAATGGTCTTCAGCTTGCTTTAAGGTGGTGAGAGGTGTTTTGTGACTTGCAACGCATGGGTCACACCAAGCAGGAGCTCAGTGGACACTTTGGGATTAAACGTGTATGACCTGGTCTCATTAGACCCTCCAGCCCTGTGCTCCTCCTGGGGTACACAAATAAGTCACAAGCATACCCCAAATACTACCTTAACTCAGGGTGCGTCATCCTTAAATATACATGTATACAAAGAATGTTGCATAAACATTTGTGAGCCTTTCTCTTCTTCAGTATCTATGTAGAATAAGGGTTAATTCTTTAACCATGCTCCTGTTCTAGCCACACTCTACGATAGCTTTTGAGGATCTATCTCCTGCACAAGAGGACCAGGAAAGGGTCACAGCAAGCCTTAGGTTTGCCGGGCTAATGTTTTGTAACAACAAGTCCAATGCTGCATTGCTTCATTACTCAAATCCTGCTGACGGTCTATCTGATGTTTTGATCAGTTGTTAATATTTAATTGTTAATTCACTGTTTGATTTAATTCTGACTCTGATTTCATGACTGCAGTATTCACTCCTCATTAGCTCATTACCATGCCACAATGCAGATCTATTTTAGTTTGGTGGTTTATTCATTAGCAAGAAACCTCCCAGACAGTACACAGGACTTATTTTTTCTTTCAAAATCACAACCAGTCCCTAAGGCTAAAGACGTTGCAGGTGAGCTCAGATATTAAGGTATTTTATTAATACCTACCTACATCCCATTCAGCAGCAGCTCGCTAGGAATGACAATAGACTGACTTTGCCTTCCTGATGGCCATTGATGGCTTACCAAGGCTCTTTGCTCATGTCCTGGTTTCGGCTGGGATAGGGTTAAATTTCTTGCTAGTGCTGTGTTTTGGATTTAGTATGAGGAGAATGTTGATAACACACTGATGTTTTCAGTTGTTGCTAAGTACCCCCCTAGTCCAAGGACAGCTCCCATGCCTACTGACTGAGCTAGGTACACAAGATGGGAGGGAACATAATCAGGACAGCCAGCTCAGCTGGCTAATGGGGTATTCCATACCATGTGACGTCATGCTCTGTATATGAATGGTAGGCGTGATCCAGGAAGTCCCGATCACTACCTGGTTATCGGTCAGCGCGGGGGGTGA